CCAGTAGAGGCCAGAAGAGGCTGTTGGACCACCTGGAACTGGAGTTAGAGGCAGTTGTAAGACATCTGATGTAGATGCTGAGAACTGAATTTGGGTCCTCTGGAAGAATAGCAAGTGCTCTCACCCCCTGAGCCATCTCACAGGCCTTTCCCCGCAGGCCATCTCACAGGCCTTTCCCCACAAGCCATCTCACAGGCCTTTCCCCGCAGGCCATCTCACAGGCCTTTCCCCACAAGCCATCTCACAGGCCCCTTTCCCCCCATCTCACAGGCCTTTCCCCACAAGCCATCTCACAGGCCTTTCCCCACAGGACAGGCCATCTCACAGGCCTTTCCCCCCCGCAGGCCATCTCACAGGCCTTTCCCCGCAGGCCATCTCACAGGCCTTTCCCCGCAGGCCATCTCACAGGCCTTTCCCCCTTGGTTTTGCTAATTTTGTTTTCAGTATTTTTTCTTAATGGAGGTGAAAATTAGGATTTATTTTAAAAAGAAGAGAAGCTAGGAAATGTTAATTCCTGGGTAGGGCAGAGTGATGAAAGGAAACTTTAGTCCAAGGTCAGGAGGGAGGGAGACTCTTGTGGTTGACCTGGAGACTCTTGGTTATTAGAGAGCAAAGATGGGGTTTACAGCAAGTCTAAATAGGCTGTATGAACCAATACTCTTTATTTTAATTTATTTATTTTTATTTTATGTGTATGAGTGTTATGCCTGTATGTATGTAAGTGCACCCGTGTCATGCAATGCCTGCAGAGGTCAGAAGAAGGCGTCAGATTCCCCTGGAACTGGAGTTATGGACAGTTGTTAGCTGCCATGTGGGTGCTGGGAATCAAACCTGGGTCCTCTGTAAGAGCAGTCAGTGCTGTTAATCACTGAGCCATCTCTCCAGGCCCAAACCAATACTCTTTAAAACATAGTAAAATGTTAACACTGGTTCAAAGTGAGTGGTATGTACCAACACTGTCAGAATTGAGAATGTTTCCAGGTTACACAGAAGCAAGTGGTCTCACCCCAGAGGCACATTAAGCACAAGAAGTTTCAAAGAAAGGACACAGGGCAGGGGGGAGGGTTGAGGATCAGCGTTATAGACTCTGCTTAGTGTGTTTGGTCTCCAATGCCAAAAATAAAAGTAAATAAATGAACAAAGACAGAAGATAGAGCAAGAGCTTGAGCGAGAGAGCAAGAGAGTGAGAGAGAGAGGACTGAGGAAAACCAAGTCTAAGAAACAATGCAGCCCAAGGACCAGAAGGAAATTCCCTGTGGTATTCCAAGCTACAGGAGACTCTAATAACATGAGTTCAGGAAAGGAAGCACTCAAAAACAAAACAACAATGAAATAAAAAGGGAAGATACTGAGGGTCATTTCATAAAGCTAGAACAGAAGGGACTGGAGAGATAGCTTGGTGGTTAAGAGCACATGCTGCTCTTCCAGAGGACTTGAGTTCAGTTCCCAGCACCCACACTGGGCAGCTCACAACCAACTCTAACTCCAGCTCCAGGGGATCCATTATCCTCTTCTGGCCTCTGAGAGCACTGCATTCACATGCATATACCCTTAAATAGATACACACATACACTTAAACAAAAACAAAATCTAAAAAAATAGAATGTATGATTTTGACAAAAATAAAGCCATTATTCAGAAAATAAAAGAAAGTATCTATCTTGAGTACAGTGTCCAGAGGCTGATGAATGAAGCTAAAGACACATCACGTTGGAGGAATGTAGTCATAAAACTGAACTCTGGGCAGAAAGCACATACTAGAGTAATACTATCATGGGATGGGAATCATGACTTCTAATTAAAATGGCTTGAGAATGTCACTCAATGGTAGACCACTGGCCTGGCATATGTGAGGCTCTGGGTTTGATTCCCAACATCACAACCAATCAATCAATTTCTAATCAATGTCTCTATTTTAATTTATTTTTATTCCATGTGTATAGTGTTTTGTTTGCATGTATTCAAGTGCACCCATGAGTAGAGGTCAGAAGAGGATGTTGGATCCCTTGAAACTGTAGTAGAGATGGTTGTCACCTGTCATGTGGGTGCTGGGAATGGAAGCCGGGTCTGCTGCAAAGTCAGTGCTCTTAACTGCTGAGCTATCTCTCCAGCACCCCTATTCTTTTCTGATCATTTATTTTTTTATTTTATGTGTATGCATTTGTTGCCTGCATGTAGGTCAGTGCACCCATGTTGTGCAATGCCCGTGGAGGTCAGAAGAGGCTGTTAGATCCCCTGGGGCTGGAGTTAGGGACAGTTGTTAGCTGCCATGTGGGTGCTGGGATTCGAACCCTGGTCTTCTGCAAGAACAACCAGTGTTCTTAACCGCTGAGCCATCTCTCCAGCCCCATGATCATTTATTTTTAAAATTTTTATGTGTATGAGTATTTTGTCTGCATGTAGGTAAGTACACTCATGTTGTGCAATAACCATGGAGGAACTAAGGACAGTTGTTAGCTGCCATGTGGGTGCTGGGAACTGAACCTGGTCCTCTGTGAGAGCAGTAAGGACTCTTCTTTAAAACTATTTTATTTGAGCCGGGCATGGTGGTGCACACCTGTAGTCCTAGCACTTGGGAGGCAGAGGCAGGCGGATCTCTGTGAGTTCAAGGCCAGCCTGGTCTACACAGTGAGTTCCAGGACAGCTGGGCCTACAGGGAGACCCTGCTTCAAAAAGACAAAAATTTATTTATTTATTTATGTGTATGAGTGTATTTCCTGCAGGTGTATAAGTGCACCTGTGTCATGTAATGCCCATGGAGGTCAGAAGAAGGTGTCGGATCCCCTGGAACTAGAGTTACAGATGGACACAGTTTTATGCATCCTAGGCTAAGTGAAAACTTGCTCTGTAGCCAAGGATAACCTTGAACTTCTTGATCCTCCAGCCTCTATCTCCTGAGTGCTGGGATTACAAGTGTGTACCACCATACCTGGTATGTATGCTAGGCAAGGACTCTACCAACTGAGCTACATCCCCAGTTCCCTAAAATAACTATAATAACTATAACTATATATATGGGGGATTATATATATATATA